TGCCTTGAAAAAGTAGGGATACGTTCCGTAATTTTCTAAAATCGCATAAAACCAAAACAACGAGTTAAAATTAACTTAAAACCGCATAAAAAAGTTTGCAGAAATTAAAAGAAATAGGCTGCTTAATAAATTACTTCGAATGTCTGAAAGAAATTCATATAAAAGCCTAAAATAAACTTGTATTCAAACTTAATTCAGTTTATTTTATTGAAAAGTAATAGAAGGGGAATCCCCGAATTGCAAAAGATCACTCTAAAAACAAATCACTGACATCTGGATGTGAAGAGTTAATTTCCCCTTTAGTTCCTCGCCCGAGTTAACTCGGGCAGGTTACATAGCGTTACATAAAACACGGTCCTTAAGGCCTTGAATTTTTTTTGAATTTTTGGAATGTTTTTTTGTCTCCAAATTTTTTAAAAATATTTAAAAATATACGGCCAGCTAGTGTTCACCCTACTTTAAACCCTTGTCCTCCCGCGACGTCTATGAGAATGCCCCGGGAAATCCAACTCCAGCTGTGTTCAAGGTCATCCAGATGTGTAAACAATGGCTCATAGTTGTTAAATTTCACAGAAGGGCGAGAGAAAGGAAGTTAAACTTTGAAGCTTTTTCTCCAAAATTAACGCATTTCCTTCGTTTTTTTCAGTTTTAAGTATTTTTTATGTTTAATTACATTTATATCGAAAATTGCTAGGAACTAAAGCGATTAAGGTAGATCTAGCTGTCTTTTACATCCATAAACGTTATATGTCAGTGGAACAAATGGAGTGAGCTTTGAGCGTTCCACGATTTTTGGAGACTGTCTATACGCGGGCTTCCTAAATAAGCCTATATGTATGCTTGTCCAAGAAATTTTTGGATGAAATACAAACCGCACAACTTCAAAATCGCATAAAAATAATCTGCATAAAAAGAGACCTTACAGTATTTGACAGGCAGTTGTAGATAAACTACTGATATGATCATCAAATAATGAGGGGAGGTTTTACATCTTAGACTACAACTAACCTACAGGAAATTCTGCTCACCAGTTTTGATTCATCCTTCAAAATTTTCATTGGTTACACTGTAACACTAAATTTTCTGTTGGAACCAAGAATCTTTCTCCTTTCTTGAAATTGTTGATTCCATTAATGTTAAATTCAAACTCACACTATGTAATTTAAGAAGTCACTATTTTAATTCTAATTAAACATTTTTCAAGATAGTCCTATCATAACAAATCCTTCTCTTATTAGATGCATATCACAATTAAATTGAGGAAAGTTATGAGTTGATCTATAGAACTATACTTGAAATCTTTATATGAAATTCATCTAAGCTGTCAATTTTATTATTTTTATATGGTTTCTTATGATTTGGAACATTTGAATCAATATTTCCTTTTTTTTTTATTTTGATTTTTTTGAAAATATTGGCATTCTTACAACTATACTCATGATTAAGTATTACTTACATCCTGTATACTACAGATAGCAGTTTTTGAATAATACATGACTCAAGGAGAATTACCTTCAGATGGAAATCAAGTTTAACTCCAGTGAAACCACTGGAAATTTTTGAATAAAATATGTTAACCTCTAGCTATTATAAAATAAACAAGTACATTCAATGACAAAGTACATACAATCAAGTTTAGTTCAAAATTATGTTAGCAATACAAAGAGAAAATAGCAGTAATAGCAGTCAATGACAAGTTTACAACATACAAATTACAACAAACTGACTAATTTAGATAGAACAATTAAATTATCAATTTAAGCACTTTGTAATTATATATCTCTTACACAGTCAGATTAAGTCATTTTGAAAAGAACAAATAAGTAAGCAATTAAGTATGCACCATATAATAAGACTAACATTGTATTTTAACTGATAAGTAAATTGACATTAGAAATCAATAGCAACAATAAACAGTATGTTTTTTAAAATTTTTGATTAAATTCTTAAAAAAATAATTAAGAACGTAAAATTGTAACATTTTTATGTAGTAAACTACAGTCACAAGAATCAAAAACCAGCAGAACTGATAAAAAAAGTATGTTTGCAAATGTTTTCCTCCGTATTAAATTGGACATCTTCAGACTTAACATTCTAAATTTGAAGTGCATGAGATGGAATGTATCAATTTGAAATATGCAGTCTCATTGATTGGTGGACATCTTGGTAATCTCAGACTAGTTCATTATGAAGTGAAGCAGATGTTCTAAGCTAATGAAAGAGAATCCATATCCTTGATATTAATAGCTGCATTTCTTGTAGTGGTTTTTATATATTTCTAACAGCTCCAAAAATCTGAATCAAGTTCTGCTGTGTGTGCAGTATAGAATTCTGGTACTACATTTGCTAACAATTTTTTTTACCATTTCTACTGGTTTTTGGTTTTTCTGATGGTAGTTTATTTAAATCTACTATAAATAAAAATACTGGTTAAATTTATACCAGTATTTATTTGTTGTCATAATATTACATAAAAATACAAATAACATCTTACCTATTTCTAACTGCCAAAGATCACCTAATCTACATCCACTCATTCCACCATATATAATTAACCTTGGCTTTTTTCCATCTTTTCCATGATAAGCAACAGCTGTATGACTTTCTCTAGGTGGAGGAGGTTGTCCAGAATATTGTGGTACATCCCAAGTCATTATACTTGAATGAGGTCTTAATTCCAATGTATATAAATCATTCAAGTACCTTACAAATATAAATGTAAAAAAATAAAAATTTCACATAAAAATACTCTTGATTAGTACAAAACATAAAAATACATATAATTCTTCAGACTTCACAATTTAACTTAAATGTATACACAGTGCAGCGCCAAAATTCGGTCAAAATTCAATTTCAAATTCCTGCCGTTCTATACCATTGGTAGATGTCATGTTTGGCATTCAAATAGCTTGGCACATATACTAAACCATCATAACCTCAAAACAGTCGCAATGTTGAAACCAAGTGTAGAATATAACTGAAGAGCTGCAATTATCAAAAGTGTTCGCACTGGGCGTTTGGCAACAGAAATCATTTGGTTCTTTGGGTATTTGAGATCAACTGTGTATGATGTTGTCGCAAAATACAATGAGTCGGAGAAGTCCAACGAAGGTTTTTACAACACTGCAAGGAAAACTCACGCAAAGGAGCACATTCTCAGGACTCCAAAATCATTCAATGAACTCATGAACTGATTTTCGAGGATCCAGGTCAGTCAATCCGAAAATTGTCATCGGTTGTTAGTGTGAGTGAGAAAACTGTGTGTAGAACTGTCGATGAGGAACTCTGCTACAAGTCTTATACCCCATTCGCACCGATCATTTTGATCTAGACTATGACCAAGGTTGGCGACTATGCCGTCGTGCGACCTCTCTCGACTGTTTCAATCTTGACTGAAATGAGGTTCAATCGTGATAGACTCAAGAGAGTTCTTGAAACTAGATCTAGTCATAAGAGAGATCCCACAATCGCACGTACGTGAGATAATACAAGATGGCTGCGGAACACGTGTCAGGCTATCAACAGAGAAATAAAAACATCCGGAGAGATGACAATTCTATAGGCAATCAAGAGGCATATTCATTGAGTTACCTGTAGCTGATGACTTTGTAGAACTTTAATTTTTATTGAGGCTCCAGCTATAAGCGTTTGAAGATGACACAATCATGATATTCCATTATATCAACAGTATGCTTATTATGTAAAATAAGGAAAATAAGATTAAAGATTATGTACTGAGAATAAAACAAAACAACTTTATCAACTTCTAAAGTTACTCCTAAGTCAAGAAAAAGAAAATTTATTATTTGAACATTGTCATTAGAATTGAAAGTGGTGTTTAGTACATATATCATTGCATACAGGAGACCCACAGCTGCATCTTCATATATGTACTACTATTCAGAAGATCATTTCAAAAGCCATCATTCATACTTAAATCGTCAAGCATACAGCCTATCTGTAGTCAACATTGAAAAAAGATTTACATAAAGAAATTTACTTTATATGAGCAGTTGCCTTAGTAATAAATGTTTATTATATCACTAACCACCAGAAAAAAAAAGAGAGAAAGAGAGAGAGAGAGAGAGACAAGAAGAAGAAGAAGAAAAAACCTTCACCCATTTTGGAAAGTGAATATTTTTGTTCCTTTTTAAATGGATATCTTCAGGCTTTGTTTTAAATTAGAATTGCACTCTTTTACAAATAATCTTTCGAAAAAACCTGTAACCAGTGTGAAGTATGTTCAATTGTTCAAGCTAACATTTTCGGATGAAGAAGGATCCCTCCTGGATCCTTCTTCAAGCTATGTTTTGTTTGTAACGATCCGTTAAAACAAAGACCAGCTGTTTTTTGGAACGAAATTTCAAATAGTGAACTTCAAAATCCAACGAGAAATCAAGTGCCATCCAGATTCGGAGACTAAAGTCATTATGCAATGACCGGTTTCTTATAATGATGTTTATGTATTTTTTATACGAATAAAATCCGTATTAGTGGGTCAGAAGTCAGAGAAAAAATGTGTGTTGTCACTCCCTAATTATTATAAGCATCATTGCAGATTTAAATTGAATTATCTTTCTGGAATAGGGCTTGCCATGCTAAAGATAAGGTGATTTCATCCTTGGAATTGACGGGTAATGATGAGTTGTAGGCTTTGCATATTTCAATTTGCTCTAACCACCTGAGGTGGTCCACATACGATGTTGTGATAAGGAGTTTGGCATTTGCAAAGTCTGCAGAGATCTCCTGATCTGAAGCATATACAGATAATGAGGTGGTAGATCTGTTGTGTAGATCTGTTGTGTCCCATTGGTGTTCCTTCCATCTGACTCCAACTGCCCATTTCATGGCACCAATGTATACTAATTCCCTGTCGCATCTATGGTCGGTGAAAGGCACTGCATACATCCCAGGTAGTTTGTCTTGACATCTTTTGAGTTTCCTTAGTCATTCCATATAAGCTTTCTAAAATCTGTTAAATACAGGATAGCCAATAGAAAAATAAAAAGCAGACCATGATACCTGACAATAAACTAAGATTGCCAATGTAATGGATGGAGTTCACAAGGTTGTTAAAATTATAAATCAAAGGAAATAGCGCTAAGCTAATTAGCACTATATATCCTACTTTATACTATCTAACCAAGATTGAAAAGGATCCAAGGTAAAGAAACTAAAAATACTGGCATGTATAGAATACTAACAGGAAACATCAAATGATGATTAGGAAGCACAAGTCATACAATGGGTAGGAATATGAAATAAAATTTAATCTTAAAAATAAAAAAACAAAGAAACAGATGTTATCAGTGAAGGAATTGGTTTAAAATACAAATGCTACAGTTAAATTAAAGAAATATGCACGATTATGATTGATTCTAAAAAACATTCCTATACATATCATAGAAGACCTAGTCACAACTAACATCAATTTAGTTTTAAACAAGAAATGAAAAAATAAAGATTTAGACATGAGCACAAAAATACTCTGAGAATAGTTTTTATATTTTCAAAGTTTTCACCATCTATTATCCATTCAAATTGGTGCGTAACAGAGGGCATTGTTTCCTTAAGTTAGAGTATTGCAATAGCATATCTATAAACTTAAAAATAGATATATAAACCAAGACTTACTGTATTAATTTAGTTAATTAAACTGATTTATGAGATGATACATAATCATTTTCAAACATACCTTGGTATATTATTTTTAGGATCTTCACTGTCATTTGCAAGTCCACCAAACAAGTAAACTTTATTATTAATCAGAGTAAAACTATGACCAAGTCTGGGGCATGGAGGAGAACCAGATTTAGGAGACCGAGGCTTGAGTCTCTTCCATTCCCATCTACTTGCTTGAAGTTCATATAATTCATTTGAATATTTACCATATTCAACCATGCCACCAAAAACCAAAAGACGAGTTCCATCACAAACAAATCCATATGCTGCACATCCTGGAGGTATATCTCCCTTCACAGGTGGTACAAACCATTGATTAGTACCTAAATAAAAGAAAATTTATATAAGTATTTAAAGTCTTCATATATTTTGAAAAATTTAACCATGCAATAATTGTCTGAAATAAAAATATCCGAATAAATTTAATATAAAATTATTTTGTATATAGGTAAATCTCAACATATGTATTTTGTATTTTCAAACAATGCAAGTTTCAATTATTACAACCACCAAGCAAATGCTATTAAAACAGGATTGTGGCTGATAACAATTTTTTTTATACTTACTTTGACCACTTATTTATTGAAAAGGAAATTTAAAAATGAATTATAGTAGAAATACAGTAGAGTGTCGTTTATCCGAATCAATTGGGGACGGGGGTCGTTTGTGTAACTTATTTTTTAGATAACCAATTATGTACAAAAAAATATATTAACCTATCCTATGTTGAAATTTTTTTTCCGTTGCATGTCGCTTTGCTTTGAATTTTCATCAATGTTAAACCTAACATAAATTTTTATAATAATAATCATGCTGCAAAAAAATTGCACAGATGGACTATAAACAGAGATACAATTATTGTTAAAAATTATTTCTTTACTTTGTACAAACAAAATACTGTATATTGAAAAATAAAAAACAAAAAAATAATATTTTGGAAGTTAATCTAATATTAAAAATGTTCGAATGCAGAAATGTGTTACATACCTTACATAAAGTAGGCCTACAGTTTAAGAAAAAAGTCCAAAATTGTCCTTTGCTTCACAGCTGAGAGTAACTTTTTTGCCGCTAAATCACGCACACGTCTTAAAGACAGCAATTGGAAAGCATCACATTCTTGCTGTTCTAACCACTTCAGAGCTGTCAAGGCAATGAAAAGCTTCCTCACTGGATGGTCTTTTTTCAGCACGGTCAGCATTGTTAGGCTCTTCCTTATCATTGCAGAGGTCTTGGTCGTCGATGACATTGGCAACGATTTCATCGTCTGACAATATGATAGCCAGGGTCATTGACATCACACTTGAGCCAGTCTTGAATGTTTTCCTATCACATTCTTCAAATCCAGAGCAATCTTTAATCAGGTCAAACAGTTGTGATACAAATTGGCTCTTTGGTGGCTTTTCAGGTGCAGTGAAAAACTCATCTGATGGTAGGAGCTTATTCCAAGCTGTTGCTAGTGTACTGTCCTTGATAGTAGCCCAAGCTTTTGCTGCCATGTACATAGCATCCTTTAAGTTAATTTCAGCGTACACTTGCTGAATTGTTTTTTCACATTCTTCCCCGATTATTACCATATGCAGCAATACCTTCCTGTAATATCGTTTGAAGCTTTCAATGACCTCTTGGTCCATTGGTTGGAGGATTGAAGTAACATTGGGAGGCAAGTAAACAACTTTAAACTTTCCGTTTTCTCTTTCTAGTGAAATGTTTGAGGGATGACTTGGGGCGTTATCACAATCAACAACAAAACATCTCCAGAATTTCCAGTTTTAAGCTGATGCTTTTTGATTTCAGAGATAAATACAGTGTCATACCATTCTATAAAAATGGTTGTATCCATCCATGAATTCTTTTGAGTTTTGTAGGTCACAGGCAATTTTTTTATTCCTTTAAAGCACCGCAGATTTTTAGATTTTCCTACGATTAGCAAAGGTAGCCTGTGTGTTCCGGTAACATTTCCACATATCATAACAGTGATGCGTAATTTGCTTACCTTAAAACCAGGTGCTGACATTTCATTCTTAGAAACTAGGATATTTTTTTCCAATACAAACCAGTTAAAATAATTAAACACCTTAGTATTTCCAGCAATGAAGTATTTAATAAAATAAAAATGTTCTCGACTATATTTAATAGTCTTCTTCAGTTAAGCCACTTTAAAACAAAATTGAACGTGAAATAGAACGCAAACAATACAACGGTTTAAAAATTGAAATTAATTACAACAAAATAAAATAAAACGTAAAAAACAAAATTAAATTACAATAAAATATTATGAAAATTAATCGTGGTAAAGAATTAAATTAAATGAAGTATTAAGAAAATTAATAGTTGTGGTAAAAAGATTTCCATGCACAGGATAGACTTTCTGCATCTCTATGGTTGATGCATTCTTTGTTGATATGTGCCTTGTAAATTTCAAGTTTTTCAATATGCTTAAGTACTTGTTTGTTGGTGGCTGTCCTAATTATGGATGCTTTGTCCCAATGTACATTAATATTTGATGTTTAGTGAAGGCTGCAAGGACGGTGCCGTTCACATTTTTAGTAATAGAATACTTATGTTCTTTAAGCCTCTGTTTTAAAAGTCTCATTTAAAATACTTAAAATAATCAAACATCTGAGTAAATACTAAGGTGTTTGATTATTTTAAGTATTTATATTCCAGTAAGTTATTTTAATTTATTTTAATACAAACCAGTTTCGTCTGCATTGTAGACATTGGTTTTTTTGTAATCCTTTTTATCAAGCATGTTCTTAAAACACTCTTTCAAACATTCAGCTGATTCAGCATCAGCCAACAGTTTTTCACCCTGGATGTCCAATTCCCTAATTCTATCCCTAGATTTGAAATGCTTAGGCCAGCTGGAAGTCGCTTTAAAATCAGCATTACCCCCCAGTTTCTTGCTCATTTCAAGAGCTTTTTCGCAAATCAAAGGGCCACTTATTGGTTGTCCTCGGCTCTGTATCTGCATGAACCATGTATAAACTGCAATGTCCAAATTCTGGTTTTCTGCCATTCTTATCGTTTTTCTGTGTAAGCTTCCATCTTCACTGTCAAGTACACTAGTAAATTTTGTAATGGCATCACCGTTCTTTTTAACATCCGATATTGTGGCATTTCCAACTCCATATTTCCGAGCTAAGCTTGATCCACTAGCACCACACTTCAACTGATCTATTATTTTAAGCTTATCGGAAACACTGAGAACAACGCGTTTACGTTTAGTCGCCATTGCAAACATCACAACTACAGAGCAATCTGTTACAAGTAAAAAATTCACAGATCCAAAATTAATGTCCCCGATGAAAATGGATTTCGACAAGCACAACACACGTCCCGACACAGAGTCCTCAGAAAAACACTACACAAAAATACCAGTACTGCCAGCTAAAACACGTACACAAACAAAAAAATATTGGAGTAGCCCAAGACATAGCCAAAGATTGCAGTGTCACAACAATAGTGAAAATTTAAATTTGCCGACTGGAATGCTTTCGGTTAACTGACGTTTTGGATAAACAACGCTCTACTGTATATTCCTTGTAGCTAACACACTTAAATCTCTCTTATCCTCATTCTGATTAGTAGTGAATATGTTTTGCTAATGGAAAAGTTCAGTATGTTAAAAAATGCAATCACAATTTATAAAACAGAAAAATTGTTGGAAAGGATATCACTGCTGAGACAATATTTGTTCCTCTTTTCACTTTTTGTTCACTGTATGAACTAAGCTTAAAACAGAAATTATAGTAGTATCTCATACTTTAAATTTAATTCATTCCAGAGAACTATTCAAACTCTGACTTTGATTTGTTCAAAGACTGACATTGAATCAATTTTTTCCACTAGAAATAATGGAAAATGAATTAATCCATCCCCAGATCCTAAACAATAGCGAGGATGAGGCCGAAGTTTTAAACATAAAAACGTGAACATCGAACGTTCAGCACCGCTTTCCTGTAAGCCTAGAAGTTTACAATAATGTTTGGAATGTCAAGCATGATTCCACTGACTAACTAACTAACCTTAAAGGAAGAAGGCTGTCTTTCGACTTAGCCTGAAAAAAGGTGATTCCATTGACTATCCAAACACCATTGTCAAACATCTAGGCTTACAGGAATGTTGCGCTGAACGTCCAACGTACACGTTTTCATATTTAAAACTTCGGCCTCAACCTCACTAATATCAATTCTGATAAACTTAAAAATAACAAACACACATAATTTAAGGTAAAAATAATTAAATACCCTAACATTAAATTAAAACATGAAAACGATAAATATAATATTTGAATATTGTATAATAAAATGAAAATTGCATTTACTGGTTGTATACTATCAGATTCTGCATCTTAAACTTAGCTACCAAATCAGCCACGTGTGCTGTTTTCATGCTTTATGATAAGTTCCTTTTTTTCACTTCAATCATTGCTATTATAACCTTCTTAGGCTTTGTTGTTTCCACACACTTCTTGGATACCATGGTTAATTAATAAGTTATTTTGGTTTGAACAGAAAGTTTTTGAGTATTTTTAATGGCTGTCAAATTTAATGTATTATTATTAATATTGTATTCTTTGTTTAGAAGCTTTTTTTTTAAACTTTTCACATTTTGTTTGAATAAAATCAAGTTGAAATATCTTCAAATTAAAAGGATATTGGGTATATACTTGATGAATTTCAGTATAATCAGTATAAACATTAGAACAAAATTTGTAATGTGTATGGAGAAGATAGTCTTAAACTTTAACATATCAAATGTGGTTTTAAACATTTTTTTTGTTTTTATTCATACAGCAATGCAACATATGAACAATCTGTCAAGGAGAAAATGACTCCCAAGAGGTCTTTTATGGAATATTGGCCCTTATTTCGTTATTTCTAATGTGAAGAAACCCAGAAAACTCCACATGTCCAGCCCATTGGCAAGGTGCAAACCCACAACCATTGTTGTTCAAAAAGTTCCTTCCAGGAAATTTTGAACTAAGGAATATAAAATATATAGGGTACCAAAAGCTGTAAACAAAAAAATTGCATTAAAAAATTATTAAAAATTAACAAACAACACACAATATATATAATCGAGCACATCAAAAAGAAAATAAGCATTGAAAAACACATGAATGTAATGTAAGAGCAAGAGATGACTTGAGTGTACAACAATGAAAAAATGCACTCTTAGTACATTTTTTCACTACGCAGGCAGATCAAACTTTGAAGCATCATTCAAACTCAAAAGCAAATTTTTGTTGAATTTAGCATTTGAAGTACAAGGTACCACTGTACATCATATTGTAAAACTGTAATTAAATCAATATTAAAATATTGAATATGATTCATGTTAACAATTATTATGATTAATATTTTAATTTATACACTAGGAATGCATTAAATATCACCTTCACTATTTCACACAAAATAATTTTGTTTTATTCATTTTTTTTACTTTAACACCAATTAATTCTTTGTAACATTAATCATCTTATACAAAATCAAGACACCAACACCAGGAAAAATTCTTTAGTAATTTGTGTAATTAGTTGTAAAAAATGTTAATCAAATTCAGAAAACAATACTGTCATTTTATGAAATTGATTTATCAACTTAATATAAACTTAAAATCAAAAACATTTATTAACTAAAAATGATCTTTGGTTTCTAAAAATAGTAGATGTTACTTTTACAACATGCATTTACAACATGCATTTACAACACACAGAGGAGCAAAAATTAAAAACTTACTCTATCTGTCTAAGATCTGCAAGACATATTACTAACAAATAGAGGTTTTTAAACCACATGTACAGTACATATTTGATTTTTTTAATGATGTAAAAAATTAAAAGTCAATCAGAAAAGTTTAGCATTAATTAGTCTTAAAAATAATTTATAATTTGTATGTATATATTTTTACAGTATTGTTAACTAAGGTTCTTGCTTTCTATCTTTGTATAAAGGTAAATTTATTGTGAAGATGAGATTTACTCTTCAAAAGTATAAACAGATTTAAAAGGTTATTTACTATCTTTAAAATTTAAGTAACTTTTTCTCAAGATTTAATAAAATAAAACATTAATTTTAGAATTAAATTCAACACACAACTAACTCCACTATCAAATTTTTACTTAGCAGAGCCAAAAATAAATCAAACTTTTGACAAAAGTTTTATTATACAACACAAATTCTTAAACATACTACCTTTAAAGTATTGAGATGAATGTGTCTTGGTTTCTTCCATCAGCAGGTCATTGCATACAGTTGACACCATTTTACAACAGTTGTCAAAAGTAGTGTTACCACCCGTCCGGTTTTCACCTGGACAGTCCAGGAATTGACTCAAATTCCTGGACTGTCCAGGAATTTTGGACTGTCCAGGAATTATTATGTCCTGGTGAACTATTAATTTTGTCCAGGAATTTCGTAGAAATTGTGAAATTACAATGAAACAAAGTTCTTGAAAATATTTTTACTTTACACTATTTTAACAGCAAAAGAACTCACACTCACTGAAACTCATCTGCAATTCTGCCTTGTTAGTCTGTTTATGCCAATGTGTGGCACGCAACCTGTCAACCCTTTTCTTTTGCATGTACAGTATGATCATACACGTCTCAAATAGAGCTAAGTTATCTGTACCTGTTCTTTCTTAATTTAGGTTACTTACGTTACTCCTATGCAAGTCTACTAGTCCCTAATTGTAACTGATTTAGAACTGGCATGCACGTTGTTCTTCCCATTGTAAAATAACATTGTGCATGCGTCAGGAACTTCTAGTCAAACAAACCTGACCTGTCATCCAGGTCAGTGATTTTGAAAAGGTGGCAACACTAGTCAAAAGGGTCATGTGCAGAATGACCACATGCTTGTTCTGTTAAAGAATTTTGGACCTTTTGTAGAGAGAGTCTTCTCTCTCTCTCTTTTTTTTTAGCATTAAATTTCAGTTTATTAACATTACACATTGCCATAACATGACGTCATATGACATGCGATAACAAGCAAAAATTAAAATACAGTAGAGCGTCGATTTTCCGAATCAATTGGGAACTGGGGTTGTCCGGATAACTGATATTTCAGATAACTGATTTACGTACGAAAAAATAGTTTAACGTATCCGATGTCGAAATGTTTTTCCGTTGCGTGTCGCTTCGTGTTGAATTTTCGTCAATGTTAAGCCTAACAAAGACTATTGTATCGTTAAGAATTATTTTTTTATTTTGTACAAACAAAATAAATATATTGAAAAATATAAAAACAATAAAAAATTATACTTCAGAAGTTAATTTAGTATCAAAAACGTAAAATATTTGAGTAGCCCAAGACATAGCCAAAGATTGCAGCGCCACAGCACTGGCGAAAATCTAAATTTGCCGACTGGAATTCTTTCGGACGATTGACGTTTCAGATGATTGACTTTCGGATAATCGACGCTCTACTGTA